TTTTCATAGTTCTTTTGTGTCCTTTAGTTGTGGAGTAGACTTTAAGTACGTTAAAATTTTAAATGTTGGTTTAGCAATAATATCAGTTATAATATATAGCATCGAAGGGATTTCGGATCTATGTTATTGCCTTGTAGTCCAATTTGTATCGTTCGAAATCTTCATGCTGTTAAATTTTCTACTTTGACAACGGAAATGACCATTATTAACAAACCTCACTAAAGTCTGACATTGATGTCACAAAACTTTTAGCCGACGAATTTATTAGAATAACATAATAGAAAAAGATTGGTCATATGTAATCATGGACCACTAAGATAAATGTTATAGTTTTAAATTAAAGTCGTGTGAATCATTTAATATTTTTAAAAGATCGATCGAAATATTTGATATCTTCAAACATTTCATCGTTACTAATAAGCTCTTATGCTATTTATCACTGTAAATTTGGTTAATTTGCATTGTCGATTATTTTTCATAAAAGAACAATGGAAGGTAGGGTCTCCAACGTTTATGTTCGTGTTCGTTTATTTATTAAATGAACGAACATGAACAAGTTATATTCCTTAATAAACGAGCATGAACAAAAAAAAATTATTCGTTTATATTCGTTTATTTATTAAATGAACGAACATGAACAAGTTATATTCCTTAATAAACGAACATAAACAAAAAAAATTATTCGTTTATGTTCGTTTTCATTTATTTATTAAATAAACGAATATGAACATACATCCGTTCGTATTTACGGGCCACCTTTCCCTCTCTCTTTGTTTCGTTTCACGAATATACATATTTTCGGATGGCCAAATGGCTTCCTTGAGTGTTTGAACATTCCTTCGACGAACCCAGCTCCCTCTTTTGCTGTCCATTCCCTCTATTTTTGTTTTTATTGGTGTCTTTTCTTGTTTGAAGGGTTACCCTGTTCTTTCCTTGCTATTTGGTTTCTGTTTACCTTTCTGAGATTCTTAGACCCATCTTTTCAATACCATTATTATAATTTTGTTTTGAATTGGGATTCCCCTCAACTCTTGTTGTTTTCTTCTGAGATTCTTCGTAGACCCTAGTGGTATTTTTTGGCTATTATTTTCTGTTATTTTGCGCTTTTGGCAACTATGTTAGTATTATATATTCTTGGTGAGTGAGTTTTGCCCCTTTTCTCTTTGTACCTGTTTGATGGGATGTTGATGTCTATGTCAGTTGGTGAGGATCCAAGTTCCAAGAGGGGTTTGACAAAGATGGGACTGTTGTTGATAGTAAAGCTTCAGAGACAAAAACAGCATCAAAGATGCCTGCAAACGGTTATAAAGTTGAAGGGCATAACCCTGGGTTCAGTAGAAAAGCCAGCGAGAGTTCTTTTTGTCCACCTGAAGATGAAGACGACGATGACGATGAAGAGAGGGGGATTGAGTTGGGCCCTAACCTTAAAGAACAACTCGAAAAGGATTAGGTTGGTTTGCTCCATCTCTTCCTTCATATTTCAGTTTCAGTTCTTTTTCCCCGCTTCACTTTTAGCGCTCATCTTTTATTTTCTTTGAATTTGAGGATTCAGGATGATGAGAGCTTAAGGAGGTGGAAGGAACAACTTCTTGGGTCCGTGGATTTCGACTCCGTTGGAGGTTTGACTTCTCATACTCTACAGATCTATTCTTTGAAACTTGATGGTTTCTTTGACGGTTGATGAAGTTTATATGGTGTATTTATAGAATGGAAACTGATCTTGAAGTTCAATAAATGATTTCAGCTAGCAAGTTCAAAAGTTGCATAGTCGGTAGAGCATAATTGCGCTTTCTAGAGCATTAGTGTTGTCTTTGATCTCCTCCGTGTTTCCATTCTCTGTTGCAAGCACTTAAAAATCTAAGGAGAAAGAAAAGAAGAAAGGTTGCCCCTTCTTTGTATCCTGACATTTGAATCCATTGTTTATGAAGGTATAGAAAAGCTGGAACCTGATGTTAAGATCCTGAGCTTTGCAATCAAATCACCTGGTAGGCCTGATATGGTGCTTCCAATTCCGGATAACGGAAAGCCTAAAGGCCCGTGGTTTACCTTAAAAGAAGGTAGCAAATACACCCTGCAATTCACTTTCCAAGTGAGCAACAATATTGTGTCCGGGCTCAAGTACACTAATATGGTTTGGAAAACTGGTGTCAAGGGTAATTCCTTTTTATCTTTCCCTGTGGTTCGTATGGAAGAATTATATTCTTTTATATAAACTTTAGGTTTGATGTTCTTCTCGATGAATTGTTGTACTTGTATCAGTTGATAGCACGAAAGAGATGATAGGGACCTTCAGCCCCCAGGCAGAGCCTTACACACATGAAATATCTGATGAAACAACTCCATCTGGGATATTTGCTAGAGGATTTTATTCAGCTAGAAGTAAGGTAAAATAAACAATAAATTTTTTTTTTTCGTTATCCGCTATACACTGTAATTGCACGAAATGGATCTGGGTTAGTATGAATCTGGTTTGTCCATCGTCCAACTGTTTGAGCGGGTATGAATCTGGTTTGTCAATCGTCCAACTGTTAGGGCTAGTATGAATCTGGTTTGTGTTGCTTTTATTATAACAAGCTTATGACTTATTTTGCTATTGTTACTTGATTTTCTTGTCAGATGGTCTCTCTCTCTCTGACACACACACACACATATATGAGGAAATCATTATTTTGAATCCAGTTTTCACCACCAGGCAAAAACTCAATATTGATCTTTTCACCATACAGACTTCCAGAGAAATGACCCTTAACAATCGATTCAGATCTTGAACAATGCTACATCAATGATCCCCTAATGTCCAAGAACTAATACACTAATAAAGATCCCATTAATAAGTTGTCCGGATCCATGTGAAACAGGATTTTGGGATTCAAATTTGTGGTCATCTCATGTTGTAGACAGGAAACCATAGTTGAAACTTGTACAATTTTCAGCGCACGAGCCTTACTAAATGTTTCATTACTCTGTTTTCTCTGTTTGCAGTTTGTCGACAACGACAGCAAGTGCTACTTGGAGAGTGAGACTAGGAATGGCAATCGTAGATGACATGCGAACGAATCAATTACAGTTAAATCAGTTTGCTCGTGCCCATTGTTTGTCAAATCACCTTTAGATGTAACCATAGTTCATTTCCTGTTTGTATTTGCTCCTGTGTGAGAGTGAGACTAGGAATCATCTATACAATGGAGAGAGTTAATCAAAAAGCGTTCTGCTTTACCTGAGTTGCAGTTAGACATTAATTTAGGATGGATTAATAAAAAGTTAAGCTTTTGCTTTCAATTTTCCTTCATGTTGTGCCATTTGGTGAAACTTGTAAAGGGGTTGTTTCATAATTGCATGATGTAATCTTGTTTCCTTCACTGTTAAAGTTGAAAGTTGGCCAAAGCATAAACACGAAAATTTGACAGATTTAGTGGCGGAATTTTAGCTAATATCTTCAGTTTTGAACAATCAATATTAATTTTTGCTAATATCTCCAGTTTTGAACAATCCAGATTTAAAATAAGAAATGTTGACGAGCAAACCTCACTTCTTGGACAGAACTACTTCCGAGTGAAAACAACTTTTCAGGTTGCCACAAGTGTGTCAATGTGCAAAGCCACAACTTTTTCGTTCAACAGTTTTATAGGTCCCGTACCAAAGAGCTTATGGAACTGTACAAGCCTCGTTTGAGTTCGACTCCATTACAACCAGCTTTCAGGGTCTCTAGAACAGAACTTTGGAGTTTATCCTAATCTGAGTTATTGTGAGTTAAGCCACAACAGATTGGAGGGGTTGCTTTCAGTTAACTGTGGAGGATGCAGAAACCTGGAGCAATTAAAAGTTGCTGGTAATATGATCAGTGGCCAAATATCTGAGGACTTTGGCATGCTGAGCCGACTACCTCTCTGTACCTCTTCAATTTGAGCAATAACCATTTAGCAGATGAGGTGGCACTTGAAATTGGAAAGCTCTCAAGTCTTGACGATCAAGATCTTTCAGAAAACAAGCTAGATGGGAGAATCCCAGGCCAACTTGGTGAATGCTCAAAGCTACGTAATTTGTGCTGGAAGAAGAACTACTTCAGGGGACCTATCTCATTCCACCTTGATTATATGGCTTTGTTGGGGTCACTTGTTCTTAGTCAAAATTTGCTCACACGGCAATACTTCCAGAGCTTGCAAAGTTGACCATGTTGGAACAGATAGGCATCTCACACAATATGCTGTCAAGTCCAATCCCCTCTTTATCCAGTATGATGACTAGCTTAACATAGATCTACTTCTCATTCAATGACCTGGAAGGACCCGCTCCAAACAGTGAATTCTTTTGCCATGCTTCCCCATCAGCGTTCAGCAACAACAAAACCTATGTGGCGAATTTGAAGGTTTGAGCCCTGAAGTAACACATCAGTGGAGACAAAAACCTATAAAATGAACCACAGGCTCCAATAAGTATCAGGGATGGTACTTTCTTTAGCTCTGTTTATTCTATACGCACACTCCCGTAGAGCAAAAATGAGCAGGTAAAGGAAACTACGGTATCAAAAAGGGGAGCGGGAAATCCACTTCATTTCTGAATTATGATGGGAAGATCGTGTACAAAGATATAATTGAAAAATATTGTATTGGGGTCCGGTGGAACTGGAAGAGTGTACAAGGCAAAGTTAAGAATAGGATTTGTTCTGGCCATCAAAAAACTATCTTCTCCAGACGGGGAAGAGGAAGAGCGGTAGATCAGATGGGACGTTTTATCAAAGAGATTCGATTGTTAACAGAAATACGCCACAAAAACATCACCAAATTTTATGGATTTTGTTGCTAAGGGCCGCACAGGTTCCTAGTTTATGATTATAGTGAGAAAGGAAACCTAGCTGATGTCCCAAGGGATTAAAGCCAAAGAATTGGAGTGGAGCAGCAGGATCAAACTTGTGAAGGAAGTTGCAAATGCTTTGTCCTACATTCCATAAAATACTTGAAGAAAACTACTTTAGCTTTAACACACTGTTATTTTCATCATGATGTTCTTTAAGTTTTACAGGGCCATGTCGCAAGTATATCGAATACATAATTTGAAAACTAAAGTAGATTTTCATATAATAAACTCTAGCCTAAGAAGTTAAATAGTGCAGACAGACGGGTCACAACTCGCAACAATTAAATAGCCATATAGCGAACGCAAAGCCAAAGCCCGACCAATAATAACACAGAGCTCCCATGAAGCCGGACTGATCCGGAAGGGGTTGTGGGCGGCGCGGCGGCAGCCACTGCGACTTTGGGCATTTTAGCGTCGGTGTTCCCTAAAGGCCCCACCTCTACGTGTAGCTTTAGACCGTTCTTGCAGCTCTCAGCTTTGCTGCTTACGAAATAGCGGATCCCTTCCCCATCCAATGGGATGCCATTTAAGCCGTCCGTGTACATTCTTAGGGGGTTGCTCACATCGCACGACTCATATTCTTCCTTGCTATTTAGCTCGGCAATACTCTCCTCCGCTGCAGAGTAGGCGAACCCTGTGCAACATTTCAAGTTAACCATAATCAAACAGAGAAAGACATGAGGAAAGCAGTGATTTTCATTCAAAAAGTAGGAAGCTTTGATTTTTTTTACAAACCAAAAGACGACGAAATTTAACAAAAATTGGTTATTGTATCATGGGGTCGTACCATATATATATAGCGTTTCTGGTATGTGTTTCTATGCTATGCTAAGCTAATTGGAAAGGAAGAGTAAAGCAAAAGCATACAGATTTTGTCTCCAACACTGAAGCTCCTACCGGAGGACCAAGATGCCACGTCGGAGGAAGGGTCCCACCCTTGATCACCTCCGACTACATGGTGCACTTGTGCTCCAGCCTTTTTCCCTCCGAGGGTTGCTTCCATGACAACCACTGCGACGATCACCATCTTCAGAATAGCCATTTTCACGGCACAGGGAAAAAAAAGTGCTACTGCTTCTTCGAGAGAGAAAAAAATGAAAAGAGAGAGCGGAGTGTTTGTTAAGAGCAAAAGAGGCGCTTTTTAGAACGGTGGATGGAAAGGTCTCCTTCAACAATGCTCTGGGCATTCGGAGTATTAAGGACTGGGCGGGGGCAGGATCCCCATGCACGGCCCATTACTATTAACAACTACCACCAACAACCATTCTAGTAAAGGAACATGTATGTACTCTATTCGATGTGTTCATCTTACTTTCCAATTGCATATTGACCATATTTACCACACCATGAAATGGAAGTAGTATAATGAATCAATATCATACTGTAAGAAATATAATACCAGTACATCTTACTGAACTGTGCATTAATAGCTTTGTATGAGCATGCGTGGCCCATTAATTTTTCTACAGTTCTACTTTCCAAACTTGTGTCATCCACCATTGCAACGGATACATTGATTTATACACAGCATAGCGATTTGCTCATTTTTTAACTATAAGCTGACGATTTTAAAGTTTTAACACTGATAACCCACAACTCTTAATGTGTATTTTCTTCATAATCTTTTTCGCTAGTGATCAACGTAATTGAAAGCATGTGAAAATTCGAGGTTTCCTCGAAAGTATCGTCCTGAAAAATATAGTCATAAAACAATTTGCAGCCATATTTTTCCCATTTGTCATTATGCGAGTATGTATACGCCCACGGCCCAGAATGTTCCACCCCAACACTCTTTACATGAATGCAATCAGTCTCTGCCCCGTGCATGGTCCCGCCCCAAAGTTTGTTTTGCCATTTGCATTTTGAAACGTGGTCCTTCCTTTGTCCATTTCCATGGGTTTTTTTTCCCCTTCATAAAGCAAATGATCATTTCCCTTGGGACGAGTCCCCTTCTAGGTTTCCACATCGTTGGAAGATCCACCCGCCAATTCGCTGCCTTTTTAAACTCTACCAATACCCACAAACCAATTTGTTTTCATTTCCTATATAAAATTATAGTAGGGGCAATAACGAGTACTGTTCCTCTCCGGTCTCCGAAACATAATTTGTCATTGAGTATCAAAACCAGTCAACTGTTCTATATAACACCATCACATTGCCAAATTTAATCAGATATATAAGAATATGGTTAAATGTTTAAATAAATATTCAATCTTTTAAAGTATATTCACATAAATATTTAATCTTTCAAAATAATTGGATAAGGGTTTAATGTTTTTAAACCTATTTAAATAAAATTAAAACTTTTCCAATTTGATAAAGTGAGAGCTGGTACCCACCTTTTTAAACCAATGTTTAAAAAATTAATTCAATTTTCATTAAAATCGTAAAAGATAATATTATTTAAATTAAGTAATGATATCATAAAACTAAAAAAATCAGATTATATTAAATTTAAAGTATACAAAAACTCAAATTAGTTTATAGGAAAAAAAACTAAAACCAATACTGAATGCACATTTTAGTCAACTTCGCTATTCAAATAATAATGTAATAACTCAAATTTAAATTCGAATAATAATACTCGAAATTAATAATAACAAGAGGATTTCAAAATAAAATTTACAAATACAAATTCCGATTTTATAAAAGAATGGAAGTATCTGATTTGCTGCTATTGCTATATTTCAAGTTTTCAACTGCAAATTGCTGTGCAAACCCCCCACGTTAGGAAGGAATGCTTAGCGGATGGTATTTATTTAAAACATGGATGACATAACAAACCTAAAGCGTGAGAAAATTAGAGAGAAGAAGAAAATTCCAAGGAAATCCAGGGGCATTTTGTTTCTCTGGTAACATTATTGTGTTATATGTAGGGATCGGTTCGGTTCCGATCTTGATCGAAAATTATATATCATTCACTTCACTCGACCCAACTCTAAAAATATACACTCTTCATCTTAATTGAATCCAATCCGAAATAATATATATTATTATTGTGAGAAAATAATATATAGAGGGTATTATTGTAATTATATCTAAATATATAAGGTGAAATTATAATTTTTTTAAAATCGGATATTTTTTATCCTAAACCCAATCCGACCCGACCATACCCGAACACAACCTTTAAAAAAAATCAGACTTGACTTGACCTGAACTCGATTCTTTTTCAAAAAAATTCGACATATTAAGTATGGTCGGTTGAAACCCATTGAGTTCGGGTGTCCCGTGCCCTCCCTAGAGGTGGGTATACGGGCTACCCGCCCGTTTAGCCCGCGGGTTTTGACGGTGCGGGCTTAAACAGAGCGGTTTAAAAAGCTCACATTCATAAACAGTTTTGAATTTTAAGGCCCGCGACCCATCCATTTAACCCGCTGGCTAAACGGGCTTACCCGCGCCCCGTTTAATAAAACTAATTTTAAATGTTGTAAATGCAATAAAAAATAATGTTTTAACTTACTACACCTTTAAAAATGATTAAGCAACTTGAAAATGAAGGTAGCACCGTCAAAATAATAAATAATATTTAAATTTTATTTTAATAACCAGAAATGATTATAAAATAATATTTTAATTTTTTAATCATATATATATATATATATATATATATATATATATATATATATATATATAATGATATAATTACTTAAACTCAATTAAAAACACAATATTCATTTATATCACCAAATTGAAAAATATAAAACAATAATCACATTATAATTTTATAAAACACGATTATTCAAGGCTATAATATGAAGACACAGAAGTGTCTGCAAGCAGAAATTCAAACATAAAAATTCAACAAAGTCAAACATTATACAAATCTAACAAAAAAGTTGTCAAGTAGTCTTAATAATTGTATTTTATGGATACTTTAAAGAAAGACTAAAACATAATATGAAAATATAAAATAAAATATTTACAGTATAAGAGTAAATTTAAAAGATACAATTATACTAAAATTGATAAAATATAAGTCATTAATTTGTTAAAATATATTTATTTTGTAAAAGCATTTAAAAGTTGAAAAATATGTTTTCAATTTTTTCTTTTACTTTTCTTTCTTATTTTTAATTCAAATATTACGTGTCATGTGATATATTATTAGAATATCACGTGACTTTTATAATTAAAGAACGAAATAGATAACATACTTCATGAAAAAAAATGTCAAAATTAAATAAAAAAAATCTTTAAATACCAAAGTGATAATGATGTAAATTTTATAAGACTAAAATACTATATAATTTTTTTAATTTTTATTTTTTAAAATGAAGAATAATTTGATACATTAATTATGTATATTTAAATGAGAAAAAAATATCAAGCAGCGGTAGAATTATGACAAACGCCCTAATAAATTTAAGAACTACAATAGTTATAAGTAACATCATATTTATAGGTAATTTATTTTCTTTTTCTATAAAATTCTTTAAGTTTATTTTCTCTAAAATTTTATAAATTTTAAATTAAGAGGGCTTTAGTGGGTTTCGCGGGTAGCCCGCGGTTATACCCATTAAACATGTGGGTTTAACGGTCCGGGTTAAAAAGCCCGCAATTTAAATGATCTTCAATTTTTGAGGCCCGAAACCCACACGGATCGCGGGTTAAACGGGTAGCCTACGGGCCTTAGCCCATATACCCAGCTCTAGCCCTCCCTACTTCTATGAACTCAAAACGCATGGTCTCATTTTGCTACGCGACAAGCTCCCAAAACCATCCATCAATTTCCCTAATACTTACTTTTGCCAGACGATCTAACGTGGCTGATAATGATTGGATCCCTGTTAATCTTTTTTCTCTGAACATTATTCTTGTTCTTTTGATTGGACGTGATTCATTTTTCCTCTGAGATTTTGATTTCCCGTTTTATTTATTTGTTTCTGTAAATTCTTTGGAGTTCAGGCTGTGTTGAAGAGTTCTTGGCCACTGAAGTCGATGCAACTAAGAAAAGCCAGCGAGGTTCATCCAAGATTTCATTCCTTTGATCGAAGAAAACAAGACCTCGATCAGAGCATTGTTGAAAGTAAACAAATAATAATGGGGCGGCTTGAAAAATGGTTTTGGGTGGCTAATGTAGTCAAAATTAGGTAACCAAATTGTTGAAAAAATAAAGGGATAATTACTAAATTTAATCCCTAAACTTTAGGGTATTTATAAATTAGTCCTTAGGTTTCAACTATAAATACCCTAGCTCATTTAGCTTCAAAACAATCCCAAAGCATTCTAGCTTTCTTCCAATACTAGAGAGAATTTAGAGAGTTTCTTGAGAGTTGTTTTCTCCTTTTTTATCAAAAGAGAATTATCATTGTTTTCTCCTTGGTAGATCGATAGAGGTTGTAATTCCTATTTTCTCATAGTGAAATTCTTCTACCGTGTCCCGTAGTTTTTACCCTATAAAATTTAGGGGTTTTTCACATAAATTTTGTGTCTCTTTTATCTTCATTTTTATTTTCTCAAATTATTAGTTGTGATTTTGCTCTATCCGATAGTCGTCTTCCGCAATAATTGGTATCAGAGCCAGATTAGAGTGTGTAATATCTGCTTATTGTCTTTGTGGTTGCCACCAAAAGGTGGATCCCCCAACATAAGAAAGTAAGAAGTTATTACCCATTCTTTGAAGGTTCTAGAGAACTATTCACGATAGTGAAATAGTGGGAGCTATCCGTAAAAGAAGCTATGACAACGAAATTTGATATTGAAAAATTCAATGGGAGAAATTTCTCATTATGGAAATTGAAGATGAAGGCCATCCTGAGGAAAGACGATTGTCTAGCAGCTATCAGTGAAAGGCCGGTGGATTTCATAGATGACAACAAATGGATCGAAATGGACGGGAATGCTATGACAAACTTTCATCTAGCATTGGCAGAGGAAGTATTGTCAAGCATCGAGGAAAAGAAGACAGCTAAGGAGATATGGGATCATCTCACCAAACTGTACGAGGCCACATCGATGCACAATAAAATTTTCCTTAAGAGAAAATTATACACTCTCCGTATGCCAGAATCTACTTCAGTGATAAAGCACTTAAAATACGTTGAACACTTTATTTTCTCAGCTTACATCATTAAGCTGTAAATTAGGAGAACAAGAACGTGTCAAACTTCTACTTCAAAGTCTACCGA